AAATAAGCATCTCTAAACACATTTAGTCTTGGAATATATATTTTGACAGCTTTACAAAACCCAAATGCAACTTTCCAATGCACTATTAGCCCAGAGGTGCAGTTCAGCTTAGCTTGTGCTGGAACCTGCAAAGACAGAATCACTTCACCCTCTCTACTTGCAAGCCAGGGTTGGGTAGCTGGAAACATCTGGAATCAGGAAAACTGAACACAGTCAAGTCAGTCTCACCCAGCAAAGCAATCCTTGCGCCTTTGCCATTTGCAACAGAATTCAGCATTCATGCATCCAACTTTGCTTGCTGCAGCTTGGACCAACTAGAAACCACATCCACTCTGTGTATGTTGCAGTTGTAAAAATACGCACTAAGCCCTTTGCTTCACTAAACAGAATAATTTATCACAGGTCCCATGTTTGTCCAAGCCATATACTCCTGAAACTTGAATAAAGTTACCCTAATTACAGTACCTGACCTAAACCAAAAGCTTGCGGGTACTAGATGTCAAACATTGCCCATTTCTGTTTAGCATTTTCTGTAACAAATACAGAGACTATGCAAGTTGACTCTGGCAGATGCCAAACCGTTTGAGGATCAGGCATTGCCCAGACACAGCAGAAAAATGCAAGAAAAGCTAAGCTGGTCAAGCTTTTAAGAACAAAAAACAAAGCACTAGATTTTCTCCACTGGAAAGGTCGGTGTGTAAACAACGGCTAAGAGAAACCATCCAGAACAAAACTGCTATCAAAATAATTTACTATGGGAGGAAGAAATGTGACTTCTTGAGCTGCATCCTAAATATCACTTGCAATCTCATCCTGAGATTATGTCCCTTTGACAAGAGCAGCATTAAGACCTGATGCTCCCTCGTCTCTCTTTCTGATGTACAGTTGCAGTTTCATCCTCCCTGAGTATCTATTTGAAGGTCACGCCTTGCTTCTAGGCATGAAATTAATTTTTATAAGAACCCTAGCATTTCATATATTTAGAAAGAAATGGCTCTACTTTGAAGTTTTAGCCACCAAGTCTTTCTCATTCTCATTTCTAGTCTGGTTTGGACACTTTAATGCTACATAAACAAAACAGGAGCTAAAAGAGAGGAACATCTCAACAAGAACACATTGCAGTAGCTAATACTGTTATCTATTTAGTGGACCAAACTATTGATAAGAAGCAAGGCTTTCGAAAAGACAAATAATACATTTTATCTGCCTTTCTGACCCAAAGAGAGTTTGAGTTTGATGCATGACTAAGGCTTCAGTCTTTCACGGGATTTTTCTCTGAGCGAGTCCAGGCCGATCTCCTTGCGAGTAAGCCGGCGCTTTACCATGCGGCGGCTTACTCGCAAGGAGAACGGTTCCTCCGGGTTTGGGCTCGCTCGGCGGAAACGATGTCTGCTCGCGCCAGCGCCTGCCCCTGCCCCTGCCCCGCCAGGCACGCGCGCCTGCCCCCCAGCCCAGCCCAGCCCAGCCCGCGCCTCCCGCCCGCACCGCCTTGTCGGCCCGCACCCATCGCCGGCACCAAATTCGCGGTTTTTCACAATTCACGGGTGCCTCAGGAACGTAACTCCTTCGAATTTCGCGGGACTACTGCATAGTCAATGGTCAGGAATGTTGGGATTCGTAGCACAAAGCAACTGGAGAGCACCAGGTTGGGGGAAGTGGGAAAGACTGCAAAACTCACGGAAGCTTCCATGAGTGGACTGGTTCCGCTTTTAGGTCGGGGTTCAGAGACAAGAAAGTTGATATGCTGGTTGCTGTCTATGACCACATGAAAACAACCTTCTGGTAACAAAGCAAAGCAAACATACAGACTTCCATATATTCCAATCTACAGAGAGCCGCCCCGAGGCTTTGTTGCGATGGGGGCGGCATAGAAATGTTTTAAATAAACAAACAAACAAACCAAAGGGTACACTAAGTAGGACTATACCACACCAGCCAAATGTAAGAAAGGAAACTGGACTTTTCAAGGCAGGCCCCTTAAAGATATATCAAACCTACAACTAACTTTAGCAGTTTGCCCACCAATACATGAATAAAAATGGTAAAAACTATGTGTGTGGGGGGGGGGCCTTCTGATGTCAGACCTCAAAAAGAATACACTGTAAAACCCCCAAGTTCTAGTCTTGTAGAATTGAAGAGGGAATGGGAGAACTGTGGAGAGAATAATAATTTTGCTGTTTTTAGCCTTGCTAAAAGGAGCACGGAGGAATGTGCAGAAGCTACAGCTACAGTTGCATAGGAGCCATTCATTGTTGATTCAGCATCATAAAAAGACCATTCTTTTTACCAAAACCAATTCTTTGCTGACTCAAAATCATACTTATTTGCGAAGGCACTTCGGAGCTTCCTAGGTGAACACTCACTCCATTTTTCTCCTCCCCTCTCTTCAATTTGAGACAGGTTCAACTAAATTTCAGGCTGTAAATTGTTTATACTAGAGAACAGCCTAAGAAAATGTGGAGTTCCATGTAGACTCTGAACATGAGGAAAGTCCATTTTTTACTCACCAAGTAAACCTTGACATGCTCTGTGCAAAAGCAACGTTCCAGGCTTCTTTTTTATGCAGCTGCAGCAAATAAAAATAGCTAATTAGCATTCTCCCACACACCTTTCCCTCCAAGAGCATGAGGACAAAGGAAAGGCACAAGGCAGGGTGACCTCTTTTATAGAAGACTGTGTTCTGCTTGAAGGGCTGCCAGAGGACTCTCCTCTGCTTGAAGATGCCCTTCATTTGAAGGACTGTGCTGTTCAATTCCACTCTGAAGAAGCAGCAGCACATTGCCCAGAGTTAGCACCTGAAGAACAACAGGTCACCTGGTCTCAGTCTTCCGCATGGGTGGGATATTCAATTTAACAATTATTTCTAGATGTGCATCATACCAATAAATGAGCAAATATGCTAATCATTATCCTTTAAGACTCCAGCTCTTAATAAAATAATTTTATTTCTCCAAGCCACTTCACATACTGCAGGAAGGAAAAGAAGTGGCCCGTGGTTTTCCCACAGCATACTAACCATTAATCTTCTGTACTGTCTGATGCATTTGCAAATATACATTCCTATTAAATATAGGATTAGTAGAGACCCCATAGATTTTCCACAACTTTCTCCTTTATAGAAGAAACAAATAAAAAATTGCCATCACCCATCTGTAGAAGAGTTTTCCCAAAAGGAAGAGTTGGATCACTGCTCCCATCATCCTCAGTGTTCCCCATTGGTATTCCTCCCTGTCTCTGTTTCAGGTAACATGGCCTTCAATCATTTTGGGCTGGATGAGCAGAAGTATGAAAAAAGCAGCATCATATTCTTTGGCAATACCCACTTAATCACGCAATAGCTAAGCCCCGCCCCACTTGTGGACATGCATTATTGATTAGGGATTTCTCCCTGCTGGAAGGGGTTTTCAGCTATAAAAAGCACCAAAATTTATCAGGGGCAGGTTCTCCTTGCTTACAGATTAAGAAATGCCAAAAGCTGCACCACTTTTTATTTTCTAAGTCTACTTTTTACACAACTAAAGTGCAGTCTACTTCTCTCAAAGAAAAAAAAGGGGGGGATGCCAGAAAAAGCATTGCAGATCTATGCTGAATTTGCACCTGCTTCAACAGTGTATTTGCAAATAGTTTCTTCCAAGTGCAGAACTTGGGGGGGGGGTGTGCAAACCTTTGTATGAAAGGGTTCTATGAATAGGGAAAGCCCCCCTCCCAGAATTGGATCAGCTAGGAACAGAGCTTTGCAGTTGCCAATTACCTATAAGGCCCTAAATGGCTTGGGTCCTGGATACCTGAAGGAGCACCTTCTTCCCTATGTGCCTGCCTGTCGCTTGAGATCAGAGACAGAGGTCCTTCTCCCAGGGCCCTCTTTGAAGGAAATTAGGAGGGTAGCTACCTGGAGAAGGCCCTTTTTGGTGGTGGCACCCCAACTTTGGAAAATGCTCCCCAGGGAGGTTTGCCTGGTGCCGTTGCTTTTTTTTTTTTTTTTTTTGGCGTCAGGCGAAGACCTTTTTGTTCTCCTAATATTTGAACTATTGATTTTATCTGAATTTTTCATTAATGGTCAGATGCAGTGTGTTGTGTGTTGTATATGGCTGTTTTTGTTTTTTGTAAGCTATCCAGAGACTTTAGTATAGGATGGCACATAAAAACTTTAAATAAATAAATATGCCTACAGCCCTCTGAGTGGGCTCACAGAAGACAGGTCAGGAGGCACGAGGATCTGTTGTAGCACTTCCCCATAACCGCAACTGCTACAAATTGAGATGCTGTGGAGTGGAAATCATGCTGCCAAAATATACTGAAAGTTTCACTGAAATGAATTTTCATTATGATTACTAAAATCAAGTAAGGTCAACTCTAAATTAAGCATGTAGGCTTTCCATCAATTTCAACTTGTATGCCTTTATCCACTCCCACTAAAAATCAGCACAGTCCAACATTCTTAACTTTAGTTGGATTCTAGCCACAATGGGCTTTGTTATACCTGGGCCAGATTTATCTTTTGAAATGTATGTACGTTTAGCAAAATCAATACTTGTGCTCCAATCCTGAGGAATAAAACCTATTAATTTATTATGTGAACTTGATTTGGTTTAATGAAATTTTAAAAGCATATTTATAATTGTGATGTGGTCTTGTTAGTAAGCTTTAAAGAGTTCAGAATGGTAGTTTCCAGGAATTGTTTCACTAGTAGCAAATGTTTAAAAGCTGTAAATAGCTCAGTAATATTTTTTCTCCTATCATTTAAAACTCTTCTGTCTGGAGAAAAAATCTTTGTTCCAAGACCATACATGCTAAGGATGTTGGGAACTTAAACTCCTTTTGCCAGACTAATTTTTCTAATTCAATGACACCTTCTATGTGCATAACCATGGATGTAATTTGAAAGGAACCAGTCAGTGTGACCTTGAAAGTATTTGCTGCAAAAAAAGAGACAGAATTCAATTTTAAATGACCAAAGAAGCATTAAATGCAGCAGAGATCGAGGTCACATGCTCACACAATTACATATTCCAAGCGTGTAGCAGATTTTTATTAAAGTATTAACTTTGGTTCTAAGAATTCCATCCTCATTTTTATAACACTTTGTTAAAAACAAATAGGCAAGAGCAAATACAAAAAATATTAAATTACGAAAACAAACCCCATTAAGGCTCCCTTTTTAATATTTATATATGTACACTCATGAACAGGTAGAGACATAACAGAAGACTAACATCACTTGATGAACTGTGAGGCAATCCCAATTTGCTACCTTAACCAGCTAAAAACAAAGTGAAATTTAAAAGCTTTGATCAAATCAGAGACAATTTCTAAAAAGAGAAACCATTTTTAATTTAAGGTAGCTCAATGAAAAATATTCAGCAGATTGAAAGTTTGAAAAATGGTAGAATTGTGAACAGAATCATAGCCATGAGATTTGTCAATTTACCATCGTGAATAAAAAATGTTCAACAATTCTAGAGCATCTATAAAATCCTGATTTTTAAAAAGAGTCATTTGTCATATCAACACAAAACAAAATGCTGGATTCCAACACAGGGAAGTCTGACAGACTTCTTAGACAGGCTAAAAGTAGGCTTACATTCTACTGGTAAGTATAGTCATATTACTGCCCACCCCACCCTACCCCCCAAGACTACTATGCACTGCACCTACAAAGTTGCCTTCCCCTGCCCCACCAGGTGTTGTAAGAAGCATCTGTTCTTATTTCATAACCCAGTTGATCACAACCATGGCAACTTGGGAAGTGGAGAAATTCTACAGTGCATTCTGCTAGCGGTCTGGCCCAGAACTCACATCATATCTAAGAGCTCTCCCCTATTGCATTCAGAAGGCTTGAGACCAGAATATATTTTTCCTGTTTCAGAACTGTAATACCAAAGTGTTGTGAGCACCTTTAGATACTCACTGCATCCTAGACTGGCTGTGAAATTGGAATTCAGGCATGTGTCTAATTGCCTAAAGTTGTAATCCTATGCAAATTTTGATAGGAAAAAAGCCTACAACTACATGGACTCCAGCATACTGGGTGTTGTAGGCCTTTTTTCTGAGAAACTTGCACGGAATTGCATCCTAAGAGAGCAGGGGGTCAATTTTGTGGGGGAGCATGAGAAACCCACAGTAACTGATACAAGCATTAAGGCAAGTTATTCTGGAAGTTCCCACCTCCCTACCCCTAATCCTTATAAATTATGCAGAATGTTAGACTGAGATGATGAAATGGAAGCAGCAACTCTCACTGCAGTGCAAGCATATGAAGAGTGAGTGTCTGCTGTTAGAAACCACCCCCAATGTCTGTCCCCAAGCTAAAAGAACTGAAATTAAAGAAGCTAGGGTACTTGTGATCCTACTATGCAACAGAAGCCCAAGCTGTTTCACTTTGTCTCTCAATTGAAGATACCAAGTCTTGTCTTTATTATGGTCAAGCAACACAACACCATCACTTTTGTCAATGGCTTTCATATTTTCTTTTTTGAAGTGGCATATAATGTGATAAATCCAAAGCTATGATAAAATCGGTCATGTCAAGATTTAAATTAGAAGTAAATTAAATCCCAGCAAAACATATTTATCATTGACTTGGATTTATAATGCGATTTTATTCTCAGATGAGTTGCTTGGGTCCTGACAACTTGAAAAGCATCATGCCAAAGGGAAGATTGTTCATGGTAAATGTTAGGTCCCAAGACCAATGCTGAAATTGTTTTTTCAATTTCCACTGCCTGCAGCAATGACAAAACACATCACTTACACAAGTAAAGCCTTTTCAATTCAGATGTCATTGCAAAAGATTTGGTTTGCTTAGCTTTAGATAGCAAGACTATGGACTGGATCTGCATCTGATGTTGATGTTAACAGTTACAGAACTGCAGTTATGTGATTTGTACCCGTCTTGATAAACTTCCATACACATATTCTGACTTCTACTAAAAATTGGCTTTGTAGGTTTATTGCTGCGGCTGCCACTGTTATCTCCATACCCAGAAATAAATGTGCAAGACTACACCAAACTTTCTACAAGCTGATATCCTGCAGACGTTTTGGATTTCAACCTGGCCATGCTGGCTGTGGTTGATAGGAGGTGACATACAAATAATCAACCAGGCTGTACTACATGGATCTAAGTTAGTACAGGACTCACACGTCCATTTTTCAGGTTAATGTTGACTCCCGTGTGTGTTTAGACCTCTGTAGCTTTTACTTAACAGTAATAGTCTCAGGTGATATAGAAAGCTGCAGAAAGCCAACTAAAGACCACAGATTTTGTCTTCATGAATTATCCCATAGCTTGCAAGAATCATACTGCCTAAAGGTGACCCAACCCAGCTAGAGGAATTGATATATAGAAAGCTGGGACAAATTAGAGCATGCTATTATTCGTTAAAAATCTTCACACAGTAGTCTTGCATGTCAAGAAACTATTTTTTCCTGACAATACACAATTGTGTATCTGGGCTTCAAAGATGACTGTAAAAGGGAAGCCAGCCACAGAATCAAGTTTCTTGAAGAGGCCAGCAGAGTCTCTTCCCTAAAAGATGCCTAGGAGCAAGTGGAGAGAAATAATCCTAGACCCTCTTACCAGGAAGGAAGTCCCACTAACTTCAGTGAAGCTTCCTTCATGTAGACTTTACAAGATTGTATGGATAGACTTGTGAACCTATTATTATTTCAAACTTCTAAATATCCCACTCTGTGGTCATGCTTTGACTACAGACATTACTTTATCTGTTCCGCTTGTGCTTGATTTATGAAGTGAAAAGAAAAAAAGAACTGGCACAAAGCAAGAAAACAGCAAACACTGAAGAGTATGCTCCAAATGGCTAATTTGGGCATGCTTGTATTTGAGCACACCCAGAGTGACTGTTCAATTTTTCTTCTTTGAACAGCAGTCCCCATGCTGCCCCACAGCATGTTTTTCAAAATCCTCTCAAGGGTAGGTTATGAGGCACTGCGGTTTAAATGCCACCCACCCCTAGAACTGGTTGTGTGATTCTGGAAATCCCAGTGAAAATATACAACCCCCCCACCCACCCCCACAAAATGTAAAGATCAAACATCATTTTGACATAGCAAGTGAACATTCACAAGATGAACAGTATGAAGAAACAACATGTCTGTCTACCAAAGTTGGATGATGGTGCTGAAAGAGACATTACCAATGCATACATCACTAGAAATGCAGAGATTAATGAGAACACCTTTTAGCTGCCCAATGACATTATGTTTTTCCTCCTCCCCTTTTCTGAGGTTGCCCCATGGTGATGGTGGTGCGGCCTATACACTAGCCATGGACAAGCCAAATCCAACTTCAAGTCTAAAGGAATTTATATTTACATCAAAGTTGGAGGGAATGGACTGTTCATTTTTGAGGCAATGCTTCCACACAGAATGTATTGAGAAGTGGTTTCAGAACACTTTGTTTTTCTGCATAGCAGAGCTCCACAAAGTAGGAACAAGAGAAAAATCCCACACACACTAGCCTGAGATGCCCACTAAATGTGGATCAGGAATAAGCAAGCAAAGCAACAATTTTCAAATTGTCTCCCTAGTCAAGTATTTGGACAGATCTTTCAAGTGACTACAGGTTGCTTGTTTATCCTCTGATCTCCATATTATTAGTTGCATGTTTTATCTGTCATACAGTCATTAATCCACACAGGTTCCAGAAAATGACCTCGTATTAACCAATTTTTCACCCGGATCCATGGCAAACAGGTGAGAAATCCTGTAGAAATCTCTCCCTAGCAGCCACTGAGGGATGGCGTCAAGTCTTAGGTGTTCCTCCTCTAGGAGGTTTGAGCTTCTGCCGATTCTTGGGCTGTCCTCCTCAAGTTGCCTTTGACTTTGACGAATTCCGGTGCGTTTTCTTGCTCTTCCTGGATCTTTTGCTTCTCAAGTTCAAGCTTTAAAAGAAAAGAAAAAAGAGATCATTAAAAGTCAAGGGAAAAATAGAATTATGGGTTGTGAGAAGAACTAGATTGTTTGGTGGAAGTATACAGAGTTCAGATGTAATGGTGGAATACACCATCCAGGAGAGTTAATGAAGTTATATTATCCCCTTATTATTATTATTATTCCAACTTGTCAGGCTCACCTTAGAGTGAAACAAACATTTTCTGACTATCTTGCCAGATAGTTATGAACAACAGTATCTTTCATGAATTTGCCCCTATAATTTTTAAACCTAGTATTACCAGTTGTTTTCAAAGGACAACTATGTAACTGGCAATCAGATGTTACACTTTTCTGTACTTGGCTTTTTCATCACAAAATGTTACTTTATTTCAAAATAAAGTTAAAATAAAGGCAACAGAAAAGAACACACATAATAACTAATCAAGATCACTAAAGGAACATGAGTTTTTAAAGCATTCTTAGCTGCCCTGTGATGCTTGACGTGTCTATCATCTCCAGAAGCATATTAAGGCTACTGATGCCATTTCCTTCCTGTTACCTGTTCCAATTTCTGCTGTCGTTTGAGTAGCTCTATTTCAAAGTCTGATTTCTTCTGTTGTGCTTCCTCCTCCTTCTGTTTAATGACTTGGTCTCTTTTTCGTCTTTCCATAACTTTCTGCAACTCTGGCTTATTCTGAGGAGCCAGACCCCTTGCAAAAGAAAGAAAAAAAGGTTACATTCAAGCATACACTATGTTGAAGCTAAGTCAGCCTGCGGCTGGCCTGAGCTTGGAGAGGAGACCACCTGGGAACCACACGTAGCCACCCTGAGTTCCACAACTGGAGAAAGTGGGATATAAATAAGTATATTTCCACTATGTTACTCAACTACAGGATGTTACGTGATGAGAAATTGCACTCAGACCTTGCTGCTCAACACAGCGAGGTCTGAACTGAGTGGAACAAGGCTGGTGCATGAAGAAATAGGGAATAAACTCAGCATGCATACCATACACCTAGAACTCTTGTGCATTCTCTCCAATGCCCAAATATGGCTTTAATGTTTTATGTTTGTGTGTGTATATATGAGAGAGAGATTGAGATTTAGAGATGAGAGACTGCGATCAATGAATAAAATGCTTGCAGTTTGCCAGCAGTTTGGCAGTCAATGAAAAAACCCAGCCCAAGTGAGGCTCCATGGAGTTAAGAGGTAAAGTTAAGCCAAGGCAGGGTTTTCATAGTGCAGAACTGGCATCGCATGTCAAATGATGTATCTTGCTTCATGACGTATCACCTTGTGTTTCCCCCGCAGTAGAGGCAAGGTATGGACCAACTGGATGTGGTACAAAACAGGAAGGCGAAAAAGTGACCCAGGGATGCCAGTTCTGCAGCAGCCTCACTCCATCCTGCCACTTGCAATGCTGGCTGTAATCATTATTTTACCCCCGACCTATAGGGAGAACGAGTCAGGCTTCTTGGGAGGGAAGCGGGACAGGAAATGTTCATAAACTGGCTTGCTGCCTCATCCAGGTCTACTGTTCCAGGATACCAACTAGTACAATTCAAGTTTCACAAGAAAAAATGTTGCTGTTAGTTCCATTTAAAGTAAGTAAATATCTGGATTACCATATTTTTCCATGTATAAAACGACACTTTTTCTTTAGAATATTTACCTAAAAACGGAGGGGTGTCTTATACATGGGGGGCCGAGAAGAGAACCACGGACGCGATTGGGGGGAGGCCGGTGCAGCAGCAGCAGCCTGCTCACTTGGAGATCGGTAATAAAAGTGGGGGGCATCCTATGCATGGGGTCTTATAATAGGAAAAATATGGTACGTATTAGTCCTTAGGGCTTTCACTTTACTGCCTGTGTTTTTCTAATGACACATTTTATTATTTATTTATTTAAAACATTTCTATGCTGCCCCCATCGCAACAAAGCCTCGGGGTGGCTCACAAAAAATACAAAAAAAAATACATAAACAACAACAATATATATAACAATTTAAAAAACATTTAAAATCCCCGGTGCATTCTCCGCTAATTTTAAAATCCTAATAAATACAATAATTTAGCAATTAAAATAAGTTTTAAATAAAAAGGTCTTAGCCTGGTGCCGAAAAACAAATATTTGAAGAATATATGACTTCTCTTTAAATTGTGGAAATCGTGATTCTATAAGAGCAGGACAACAAGCCAGATAGGTGATGCAGTTTTAGCTTTCAAAACAGGCAACTATTAAATATATGTCTGCAGTGCATTCAGCTTTTTCTAATATTCCATTAAATAATATCCAAACCAGTTTGTTATTTAAAATATTTTACTAGCACACCCATAAATATATATTATGCATTATTCAATTTCTGTATGTCATGCTTCTGTGAGATAAAATATTTAACAGGAGTAAGAGCACCATTTCATCAAGAGAATCTTGTGCCTTACAAATGTATTTAAATCTCCATCTTGTTTGGTCCGTTCCATAGTTTTAACTTGTAACACAAAAAAACTCATGCCAGTGCTACTCTGTAACTGAAGGTGGGAATATGTGTGTAATCAATCAAGACACCCAATTGTCATAGGCTTCTAAGTTTAATGACAGCATGCATTTGTAAAAATATCAATAAATACTTAATGTGAGGAGGGAAATTGCTTTGAGGGTAAAGAGAGTAAAGAGAGACAACTCCTCAAAAAAATAAGCCTAGAGCACTCACTAACATGAAGACAGCAAGAACTGTAGAGCAGAGTTTTCAGATTGCATCCCAACTGCTCTGTATTTCCTTGGAATTGTATTCTGTGTTCCTAAATTAAAACAGTAGTGGGACAATACATGGCCTTTGAGTCACAAACAGCACCCTCTTTCATTACTGCCTCTGCTCCAGACCACCCTGTTCTCCAAATTTTTAACCTCCCCCCCACAAAAAAAGCAGGCATCCACAACAGCTACAGTGTGCCCTAATGGACAAACATGGCTTGTATCAAGTTAAATCTGGCCATTTGGGCACTCCACAGCTGCCACAGAGCACAAAAATAGGCAACTCTATTCTGTTCAGTTCGGTTGTATTCTGCCCAATGACCAAAGCTCTCTGGAGCGTTTACAACACATTACAACTTCAGCTTACAAACCAGCTGATTTAAACCACTGTATTGTTACAGAGTGATTTACCACAGAATTTTGAAAGCAAACTGGTGATTTTGGTGTTTTCAGACAACCTGCTAACCACGCCTATGTATTTTTTGAGCTCTGTCATAATGTGCTGGACCACACAGACGGCATTTATTTTCTCTAAAGGCAGAATGGTGCATCCCAGTGATCTTTAAAATTCTACTGCCTTGAGTATGGGTTTATTGAGGAGAAGCAGCTAAAGCAGAGCAATCTGAGGGGTGGTAGAAGAGCATCTCTGGGCTGCAGAGTACAAAGTTTTACAGAAATATATCATGTCTATATTTTAATTATTTAATTAAATTGTGTACTGTCATTGTGTTACTCCTTTTCTGGAATCAACTTTTGTTGTGTGGAATAATGAGGGAAGAGCTGTTTCCATGGTGCCTTAGTCCCTCCTCCTCACAAGCAGAAGGAAAAGATAGATAGCCAAAATCAGCTGGCTGTGCCTTTTGCAAGGCAGGAAAAACCCGGAGGCATTCTCTGCTTCTTTATTTGGCTATTTGTAATCCTCCAAGTTCAAGTTGGCACCCTCAGATGATTAAATCTGGAGTCCAAAAATACTAGACTGTACTACGCCCAGCATTAACTATATACCTTTTGCTCCAGGGATGCCACGAATAATTTTATCTGTTGAAGACTACACTTTTCCCAACAAAATATTTATAGTTTACCTAAAACAGTAAGGCAATAAATATTCATAAAATGATATGAAACAGTAAAGATGAGCTACATGGAAAGAAGCCTTGAAGGCCACCTGTCTTTTCACTTCAGGGCTCAACAGTCCTGGAGCAGTTATGGGCTGGCAATGGATGTGTTATATGCAAGTCTCAGGATGATTACTTTTGGGGTTAGTTTATAAACTCATGCACTCAGTTACACTCTTTCTATTATGGCAGAAGCTGGGGGCTTTGAGTTTCTTCCACCCTTCTGTGATGTTCTGAGAGACCAGTGTTCTGTCATCATCTTTTGAGAAACATGGTTTTATGAGTGATGGCAAGGTGGTCAACGGGTGCCCTTTCTCAGCCCTATAAGGACTGTGCATACATTGTTGGCAACCAAGAAAGTTGTGTGTCAATGGTTACTTCGGTGCTTGGACACCGGTGTCTGTCACTAGATGGCGCTAAGTTGCAAGATCCAGCGATAGAATACAAGCAATAGTTCTCATAGAAAATGGCAAGTGAACCCGCAAGCAGCCATTCTTTCGGTCATTATCCATGATAAGGGAGAAGGGACTTGCAGGGGAAGAAATCTTGTAGACCTCCTTGGGTTCCTTGCAAAAGCAAAAAAGGGTATAAGTGTAAGGTGGTAGTAGTAGTGGCAGCAGTAATAAGGAAGGGCATAAATGTAATACAGTAACAGTAGTAAGGGAGGGTATAAATGTAATGTAGTAGCAGTAATAGTAAAGCAATACTATTACATCAGTACAGAGACTGCTTTAAAAAGGAGCATAACCAACTTGGAAAATACTCTAGAACAGAAGTTGGAAATGCACACATGCAGGAACTTTAAGTCTCTGTCCTATACATTTCTAATAATATTGAAGAAGACATGAAGGTAGTTTTCTACCCAATTACACAAAAGAATTAAACCTGTTTCTGCCTTTCACTGTTCTGGCTAGTGAACACAAATGCACTGGGACAACTAGGCACTAATACTTTATTGAATGGTTAAGTATGTAGTATAATCACATTTTTAAAAAATCTGTGAGGCTCACTGCATGTAGATTCTCTTACCAGGGCACCTCTAGGACAGATTTCTGATACTTGGTCTGCATCTAAGGCCCACACAGACTACAGAAGATGTTAACTATTTGTTTGTTTGTGTATTTATTATATTTGTATGCTGCTCCATAGCCTTGAAGGCTTTCTGGGCAGCTCACATATACACTTCAGATACATTTTTTCATTATAAAAATCAACTTGAGGTGGTTACAAACTGATGGGACAGAGTAAGACTGGGGGAAACAGTGTTGTGTCCATCTCACCTTTAGACCCGGGTAGAGTGTAGCAGGAGATTGGTCTAGAGCTCCAAAGGTCTCCCTTCTCACAATTTTGACAGGCAGGAAAGGATGGAAAGGCTTCTGACACTGGCCTTGTTCATGCAATCACCACAACCCGCCATGCCTTGTGGTGCCCAAAACTGAGGGCGGCAATTCAAGTGCTCACCATTGTGACTTCTAATTATGGATGAACCCAGCAAGGGTGGGTTGTCAGGGTGACTGACAACCTATCCAGAAACCATGGGTTAACAACACACCTTTACCAACTTTGCATATAATGACAAACTATGGCACACATCTAAATCTAAATAACCACCAGCATAAGAAAGATCCCATAGGGGAAATTCACCCATGGTGGCTTTGTGCTATGTCTGAACCACACACTGGCTCAGCCTGTCCTTTGTATACTTTCCTTAGAAGGAAAGAACCCAAGCCAAAGGTGCAGGAACTAGCTCCTTATCAGAGGAGAGCTCTTATTTCCACACTGGCTTGAACAGGTACTATTTATTTATATTTAAATTATATTTATTTATAAAATTGGTATGCCATTCAATTACTTGCATCTGTGGATGGCTTACAGCATAGATAAATTGATCATCCACACTGGCTGCAAATTAATAAAATGCAACAATAAAATTCAATATTAAAACATTTTAAAATATTGATTAAATAAAAAAGTATTAAACTGGAACCGAAAAACATATAATGATGGCGCCAGGCGGACTTCTCTGGGGAACGCATTCCATAGTCAGGGCGCCACTTCAGAGAAGGCCCTCCTCCAGGTACACTGTCTCCTAATGTCTTTCACAGAGCATTCCCGGAGGAGGGCTTCTGTTGCCAATCTCAGGGGGTGGGAGGGCAAATAGGGAAAAAGGCGTTCCTTTTAGTAGCCTGGTCCCAAGCCTTTTAGGGCTTTATAGGTAATAACCAGCACCTTGAATTGAGCCCGGACTTTGATGGGAAGCCAATGGAGTTAATAGAAGACTGGGGTTATATGAGAATAACGCCCAGTCTCCTATCTATCTATCTATCTATCTATCTATCTATCTATCTATCTATCTATCTAGAAAGCTTCTATGCTGCCCCATTCGCCGAAGCCTCGGGGTGGCTTACAACAATAAATAATAACAATATAAAACAATATAATTGGAGACGTCCTGGCTATAAAAATAAAATAAATAATATTAACAATAACATTTAAATAAAAAGGTCTTCGCCTGGTGTCAAAAAACAAATAACAACGGCGCCAGGCGGACCTCTCTGGGGAGCGCATTCCATAGACTGGGCACCACCGCAGAGAAAGCCCTCCTCCGAGTACATACCCTCCTAATATCCTTCACGGAGGGTTCCCGGAGAAGGGCCTCTCCTGCTGATCTCAAGGGGCGGGCACATATGGACGTAAGCACTCCTTTAGGTAACCAGGACCCAAGCCGTTAAGTGCTTTATAGGTCATAACCAACACCTTGAATTGGGCCCAGACTTCAATGGGGAGCCAGTGAAGCTGACGGAGAACTGGAGTCATGTGAACATAACGCCCAGTCCCGATTTACAAAATCTTCCCTGCTTATAAGCTCTGCAAACAGTGAAGCAACGAGTAAGTCTATTCTTTTAGTTCTCCCAGGGCTTTTCTTTACAGAAGGGCCAAAAAAGTAAAGGATGGGCCTGGTATTCTAATCTGCCCTACTTGTTGAAGTAGTTGTGGGTGGGAGATTTTGTGGATTCTTAACAGCCAGCTTTCCCATGTGCAAAAAAATCCTTATGTCTTTATAATAATCGGGGTAGAGTTGGTCTTTAGAACTACTCGCTACTCAAACTTCAGCTACTAATATCTACTCAATTCTGTTAAAATAACCTAGCAACTTTTCATGTCCCTCAACATTACCTCTACTTTATTGTGGGGGGAAAAATGCCAGGCTGTATGTTCCTTGCAGTCTTAGGACTGGCCATATCAATCTTTTGTTTCACAACTTGAAAGTTAACTTTCAGGCTTGTTTCATATTTTGCATTTTTCCCTGAAAAGTTAAGAATTAGCAGTCTATTTTTCCTTTTAAAAAATGAATACAAGAATTAAAGGAAAAAGAAGCTTAACTCCAGAAATCTGCAGCTTGCTTCGCTATATGGTGATTGCAAGCTCCCATTTCAATGAAACCCAGGAAAAAGCTAGAATGGTGTACTCTAATGTTAATCACCCTAACAAAAATGGAAGCATTCAAGAGAGATTTACTAGCTAACGTGTGTATATGTGTATATATGAATGAATGAGAGGGAAACGAAAGGGGATTCAGATTACTTGAAAGGGCTTCATGTTATTGTGTAGTTATAGTTCAATTCCTTCCAGGCCTGCTTTAAAAATTACACACTAGGAGCAAAAATTGTCTAAGTCTTTACTAAAAATCTCCAAGGTACTAGTTGGACTTTCATGTTTAATCCCATTAACAAAAGTAGGGCACACCTTCCCACCAAGTTTCTCTGAATTACGCTGGTGCTGAACACAAGTGTACTTTTCATACTCATTTGAAAAGTAATGTGTGTGTTGAAATAAGGCATTTGGGAGAGATTCAGACTCCAGGGAAACTAGGAGAACTGCCCAATTTGTTGAGTCTAGTGGTACAGACAAAAAGAAATATATGACAATGGATATGAAGTGTAATAGCTAATAATCACTTGTTCAAGTATCATGATTTAGCTCAGACTGTTTTTATTATGAAGTACCGTATAGGTGTCCTAACTTAAATGTGCCACCTTTGAATATTTAGCACATGTTCTTTAAACGTCCATCATCAGAGCTAGTTACAATCCACTTTTCTATCAATTTGATTGCAAACATACCATTTGGGAATGGCTGCTAGTGAGAGGGTATATTTGAATCAAGTGTAGGCATGTCAATTTTTGTTCCACAATAAGTACAGTAGACACTAAAATGGAGAGAAAGGGCTTCTCAAAACCTAAAGAACCTCTTTGTTGGTAACACTTGTGCTACTAGCCAGAAAATGCTGAATGGTGGGGAGGAGCCCATCTAGGAAGAGGGAGGATGTGGATTACATTTCCCATGATGCCAACCATGCCCAGAGAGCTTTCTCCAGTATCCTGCTGTATTCCCAATGATGCCTTCTAACTGGACATAGAAGTGCCTCCAAGATAGAATGAGCCCTGCTAAAAGCAGATTGAATTCAGATGTCCTGCAGATGTTTTTCCAAAACTGGCTGTGGCAGGTGCAAAACAAGCAGGTGTTTGCTTGTTTTGTTTCCAAGGATCCATTTTGAAGTGGAGTGTATTTTGTAGCTATCAAATAAACAAAATGTATTGCCTAGAAGGTATGCAAGGATATCTATGAACAACTGGGACAACCAAAATGCCTCCCTTCTTCTCCTCAAAACTATTGTGCATGAGGATCATTGCTTCAAGAGATACCCTCTAATGGCAAGATCTTCACCCATGGTAGTTTTTGAGGGGAGAAGAGATGCATTTTGGCTTCTCTGCTTCAAGAGATAATACCCCCTGATGGTGGGGCTAGTGCACGGAACTTAGTCTTAACCGGCTTGTCTGCAAGGAGGATGGGGCAGAAAGAAAGCACATCCTTTATTTATTTACCCTCTATCCAAAGTGATTATTTGGGAGAAATGATTGGGCAAAAGGAAGACATTGTGGAAAAAGGAAAAAAGAAAGAAACTCTGATGTCCCAGTGGGAGATAAATATTGTTTGCTTTTTTTATAGGGATTACAGCTGTGAGGCGAGAGAGGATTCCAAATGCTGCTGGTTCTGCAGAGGATGAAAATGAACTGAGAGGCAAGTGAGAGCCACACCTGAAGCATGTGCAGTGAAGATGGGCAAGACTCCCATTTAAAGCTTGGTTTAGGTCTAAAACATTCCAAATGACTGTTCTGTGCAGGTGTTAACCCATGTGTGTGAGACACGAAGAACAAATAATAGTTCAGAGTCAAAATGGTTTTGCTCTCCCCAGAATAATGTGCACTTTCTGTGGACTGAACAGAATTTCAAAATGTCACGCTATCGATTTTTTTTTTTTTTTACAATAGAACACATAATTGAGATGTTGTTTACAGGACTAGCAATTCTGTGAACAGTCAACAGTCTGACATGTATGGATGCTACACAGATAAACTATATTAAAAGGAGGTTAACTTTGGAAAAGGTCAGTACTGTCCATGAAACTAAATTATAAAGAAACACAAAATGCAGGGCTGTGCAAACTGTAGAATTCCCTGGATTGTCTCCCTTCATCTGTATTCCTGAATGCTTCTCTAATAGCCCATTTCAATCTCCATCTGTAACCTTTCGAAATTCTTTCTTTCTCTTGGAAATTCTGTTATAGGATCCTCCCTCTAGGGTAGATTTTTTGTTTATAAATATAGCAAAGTCTCCACTCATGGAAGAGGAGCAATTTCTGCCTTCCTACCCTAAAAATGTAAATGAGGACAGGCTGTTTTCAAAGGAAGCCTTCTTGATTGTTCTATGGGAACTTGAGCTTATAGGAATTGTTGTCCAAAACATACAGAGTGTACTAGCTTTCTTAACCCCTCTCTGTTCTACAAGATAAAGCATGTCATAATCAAAAGTAATATGCAGAAGCAGTGGCATGTCGCACTACTAGCTCTTACCAGAGGGAAGAGGTGGTAGTGAGACATGCTCACATGAGAAAATATACTGAAATGGGCTTTCCTAACAGATTTCAGAGAACTATTGCCATGGGCTTGCTTTATGGCAACATTTGGTCAGAATCATGGACATGACACAGGAACATTAGCAGTCCAAGCCAGTCAGATGAGGTCTCTTAACTGAAGATCGCAGAAAATTCCTTGATGCAAAACTACTCTGCATGTCCTGAACTGGGGCTGGCAATGGTGAAATCAGAGAACAGGGGTAGGGGCATACCTTTTTCCTTCCAGATAAGGCTGGTGTAATGTGTGCGTGCGCCTGCGCACATGAGCGTGCAAGTGAGAGTGTGCAGTTCTCCAAGTTCATTCACAGTCAGAATTAAAGTAACTGAAAAGACTTCAGCTCCTTATTTCTTACCTCTTTTGATTCATGCGGAGTTCTCGGTGAAGGTCTTGATGATTCCGAGATGTTTTTACAGGATTAACTAGTTTCTGAGGTCTAATTAGTTCAGGATTGTCTTCATCTATGTAATCGGGTTCAGCCATGATGTTTCTTAGAATAAGAGAAGGCTCTCTGAATTCAGACTCTCCACTTAAGTTATCTGTAATGTACATACACACACACAAAATTCTTGCTCAGTCAAGTTTGTTCAGCAGCAAATATCTCCTCATACTAATATTGATGGGGCTTGCATTTGATCTACTAAATAGTTTAAATATTAATTTATTAGAAGAAGAACAAAGAGTAGACGATTTTGTTTTTAAAAAATGTCCTAGAGCTCTCGTGTCCAGTCCCATTCCCCCCGAAATTTCGAGAACTAACCCATATCAAGAGGAAGTCTGGCTTACATGATTGCCACAGCCTACCATGGCTTATTTAAGATATGATGGTTTGTGCCACATGCTGTTGGCTGCTGTGAACATTCAAGCCACAGTGGACAGAGACCATGCCTTACTGAGGCATGTGAATCTGGTGAGGGTGGGCTGTTGTCATGATTAGCACACCACCCACAACTCATGCTTTGTTTTTGGATTGCCAGTGGTTTGTTAACCATAGGAAAAGAACTACCCTGCAGCAGATCCACCTTCCACAAGGAACTATGCTGACCCACTTACCTGAATATTCTTCCTGTTGTTGCTATGCACAACAATGGTGGATTGTGGCAATGGTGTAAACAGGCAATTGTACAGACTCTGTAGGCATCATAAATGATAGCCATTTTAAGTCTGCCATGGGCTTCCTTCCAAACCCTGCTTTCTGAGAGCCCCAGGCATTTATAGCATTTATATGAGGGGTGACCAAATTGAGGCTCACGAGCTGCATGTGGCTCTCCGAGTTTATTTCGTGGCTTGCTGCTCACCGTCCATGGCACCCGCTTGCCACTTGCTGCCGCCACCCATGGGCACCTGCCTGCAACTCTCAACCATCTGACATTTACTGTATGTGGCTCTTCTGTGGAGCAAGTCTGGCTACCCTTAATACACAGGGTAGAAAGTGCTGTGCTATGTGGTTCAATTAAGAGAGAAGAGAGGGGAGATAGCAGGACAGAACATGTGTAATACTAAATTAGGAGCATGTAAGAGAGAGATCCCAACTCCTACAAGCATGGGGAAAAAGGAGCACTAGCACTATTTCTACCAGGGGGCAACAGCTGAAGATAAGTGACTACTGACGCCTAACACATCAACCTGACCAGGTTGACTTCATGCTTGAGTCTGGAACTGAATGACAGAGTTGCTAAAAGATTTCTAAAGAAAAGCAAGCTTTGCTTTCCACACCTGATGTAATACCTACACAGCCTGCAAATTTGGACAATCAGCTCTTTAAAGACACTATGAAAGTATTCCAGGCATGCTCTCTTCCAAATTGCCACCATGAAGACTAACTTTCCTTCAAAAAAGGACTAAGTTAAAAGGTCTAAACATTAAACTGTATTTTTGATACTTTGCCTTTCATCCAAGCAACAATACCTTCAAGGCAGCTAACAATACAGCTAACAGTAGGAAACAACATTTAAGAAAAATAGTTAAAACATTTTTTTAAATGAAAAGCCACAACAATAAAAGAATAAGAACAGCACCCAACTAGGATTGGTCTCTGCATACCAAATAAAGATGGATCCATGAAGCAGCTTCAGCAGCCCATGTAGATGACACATTGATAAAAGAAAAATACAATTGTGCTGATGGAACATATTCATCATCACTGCAGTGATACTTAAAGGATCATAAGGTTTTTAGCATTGTCCAAAGGGTCAGCACTAGTAGCTGTTCCTCCACCAGAGTCAAGTCTTGGTCAGAGCCTAACTTAGCAATAAGGAAGGGAATTTGCTTCCAGTTGGTGCGGCTTCATCACCAAATTATGCAACACTGGCTGACCATACAGGGCTGGCAGCTCCTGAAGGCTCCTTCAGACATATCACTTGTAGCCATGAAGGGAGCAATACTGTGTTGTCTCCTTCCAAGAGGGCCCAGGCCTGTTGTCTCCATCAGCTTTTATTGCAGGCTGACCCATCATCTCAATCCACATGGTATCAGTACAGCAGTTCATAAAAGTTAGGCTATTTCCTTAAACTGTAATTATGTACCTGTATAAACTCAAATGATGCATTTTTATAATTTAACTCTATCTTTCACCCCATCATCATAGGCTTATTTTCAAAAGTAAGCTAACATGGTCTGTAAAATTCTTCTGAAGCAATCTGTAGTCTGCATTCTCTGAGAAGACGGCAAAGCTCCATCCAGTTTCTGAGGATTTTCCTTGCCCACACAACAGTTCAGCCCCCCAACGCTGTTCACAGTGAGGGCTGGATACTAATATGTACTTTTTAAAATAGCAATGTAAAATAAAGGACATCCTACTATTTAGAACCCATACCACATGTTCTGATTTTAACCAGACCCAGAGCAAATTCAGACCTTGCAGGAAGGACTTGTGCAAGCCGAAAGAGATGCTTGTCGTTAATATGAGGCCTCGAGTAAGGTAGATGTCTTGCAGAGAGAGTCCCTGGCTCAGTTCCTGGGAGTGCTGGTGAAAGAGATTATTGGCAACTAGTGTGGGAAAGCTGCCTGCCTGTGGTTTTGAAAGGGTGTCACAAGTGAGAAGGGGCATTACTGAAATAGACAGACCAAACCAATAGTTTGTCACCTTCATATGTTCATAAGCCCTCTTACCTTGCCTCAAGCTGTAACAACCCCAAAGAAGTTGCAGCATTCTTTTTGTATCATCTCTCACAGATTGCAACCCACTATTATAAAATGTAAACAGCCTTGAATTCTTTAGCAGAAAGGTGCTATATAAAATGTGGTTCTGTGTATAAACAAAGTGGATGAAAGACAATTCTGCACCCAGAGCTTGTGGGGCACATAAACAACATTCAGCAGCAAGAAAGAATAAAAGCACCTAATACTTCCCTAATGTATCGCTTCACACTGGTTAACGCCAGTTCCTTCTGATAGAAACACTGGTCCCTTCCATTTTTTAAAGGGATTTAAAAAGATGGAACATACACACATGGGGCTGCATCAAGCACTGCCCATGTGCCAGTGGAACCCACCACTGCTGTGACATGAAACTAGCACTTCTTAAAGTAATAAAAATGAGCTGAAGCACTTCCAGAATGGACAAATTAGCAAAGATTGCAGCAGGGAACACCACTGATCTGCCTTGTTCTGGGAACAAGATTTTTAGCTAATTTCTATTTGCTTTAGGAATCACTAGCTTCTGCTTGCACTAGAATTAGGTCCCACTGGCACTGTTAGATATTGCCTGAAGCTCCTCACAATTTTCCACATGTAGCTTATGCTTAAATTTTGCTGTGTGGTCTCTGTAAGACTTTAAAGCAGCCTTCACCAACTTGGTGGCTGCAGATGCTTTGGACTGCAACTCCCAACAGTTCTAATCAGCGGAACAAATGGTCAAGAGTTTGGGGAACTGTGGTCAGAAGAATCTGAAGACCATCAAGTTGGGAAAGGCTATCTTATAGAACCTAAGTCATATCTCTGAGCTATCTGGGATTTAACTGTCAATCCTCATATATGCAAACCTGAATTGGTGCAAACATTTTGCTTCAAATACCAAATTGTGAGTCCCTTACCTTATTCTATACCTTCCAAATTCCTACCCTCCTTTAAAAATTATGAAAATCACAAAGCTGATAAGATTTGCCTACTACAAGAAATGTAGAGACATGTTTCAGAAAGCAAATATTTTACATGCTGGTGTCTTTCAGAGATAAGCCAGTTTGCTTAATGAAATATAAAACTCTCTTACCTTAATCAATAGAGAAGTTTACTGTTCCACGCATTTCACTATTAAAATGATGCAACTCATCACTCACAAAGACAATTAACTTGAAGCGGAGAGTGCCTACATTTAGAATGAGACGTCAGCATGGTTTTACATATGGTTATTTGTGGAATGTAAACAGAGAACTATCCAGTTTAATTATTAAGCTAGAAAGACGTCTCTTTCCAGGTAAGAAGGCTTGCAGAAACTCATAGGGCTTGGCACAGAACTCCACATAAATCTTTAGTATAACTGCTAAAAATCTGTAGCTCACAGATGTTTTGGACTACAATTTCCATCAGCTCTTAGCATTAGTCATGCACAGGGCTAATGGGAGCTCTAGGCCAAAATTTCTGAGTTCTACACATTGTCCAACACTCTTTCAAAGAGACAGTTATGGTTAAAGCAGCTTATCGATAGGAGCTGCTGTGTCAAATAACCAAAGGAATTTCTGACTGTATCAATTGTTCTTGCCTACACAGGCATACAAGGGATAGCTAAGAAAGTAAACTGCAAATAGAAGAAAGCCCCCATTTAAATTTAGCCTCTGCAAATTAGGAAAACTGCTCCCTCTTAGCATCATGTACCCAAATGCAAAGTGTAATGTTAGGATTACAGCATGAAGCCGTGCTTTGAACACTGTAGTGCACAAAATGCTATGTATTGCCATTTATGGGCACATGGCTATAAGCTTATCATTAACAGGAACATGTCAAGAGAAGGTTAACAAAAATGGAGAGGAACCTGGAGATCAGCTCCTATAAAGTATGGCCAAGGACTTTAAGGATGGAGAGGTTGGCTGGAGAAAAGACAATGAAGAGGCAGAGCAGCCCTTTTCATTTACTTGAAAAAATGTTTAATCAAATAAACAGAATAGAAATACATAGATGGAGCAAGTTTATTTTCTGATGCTCTGGAACGTGCGACTCAAAGCATGGCTTCAAAGAAAAAGCAAGAAGATTTTTATTAAATATTGCAAAGAACTTCCTAGCAGTACGAACAGTGCTCCACTATTGGATTTGCCTTGGAAATTATAGCCTATCCTTAGCTTAAAACAGAAAATGGATCGCTCCCTGCCAGAGATACCATAGCAGCAGATTCCCTGGTTGGTTTCACTTCCCAGAGAAGGCAGATATAACAGTAGTCATATGTGCTTTAATTGCCTCATGATTAGATTACTGCAATGCACTCTACACAGGGCTGCCTGTGAAGCTTGTTCAGATACTACAGCTTGGTGCCAAATACAGCAGCCATAATGCTTTCTAGGAAGTGTGCTTCATATTTGAGAGCCAATGTAGTACAGTGGTTAAGAGT